GTTGCAAACTGCGCTGGACGAGAACCAGATCAACTTCGATGGTCAGGTTCAATGCTGACCTGTGGGGAAATTGGATTCTGTTCTCATGCGGTTTGCTTTGTGACCAGAACTGTGGAGAGAATTGAGCTCCTGAACGGAGGTGCTGCCATACGTGAGCACTTAGCCTACCATTTGTGGGTCCGCTGTTCTAACTTTTAGGCATATGTAGTGATTCACACAAGGGAGATTAGGGGATGGATGCGCAGCCAGTGCCTCTTTCAGTCCTGCTTCTATCAAAGTTTGGGATTTATTGCTAATTAGCATGTGAATTGTTGATGCCTCGGCTGGGATTTCTGAAGCTGTACAACAGCTCACTCCTGTGAGTACATGAAGTCCCTCTGCGATCATGTTTATTGCTGTTAATTCTAATAACATTGGCCCCGCCCTAGAGCCTGAGCCATAGCAGATGCCGAGTCCCCCAGTTTCTATGATTGTTATATTCCCACGCGTGACCAACGCCATCGGGAAGCATTTCCTTCAGGCCCCATTTGGAGTTAGAACTTCAGCAGCAGCGCCAGGTGACTGCACCAGATGCTCACACACACAATTTCGTTTCCTCCACCACACAACGCCAGGTCACATGACGCAGAAAGGGCCTTTGAGGAGGCTACGAATGCCCCTGGGTAAATTAGCCAGGTGGCAGGGGAGGAACCAAGCCCTGTGCTGGGCTGCAGTGGGGGTTGGCTACCGGATTTGACAGACGCTGCTGGGAGAAGCCGGAAATAACCGGTGAGCTGTAGAAAATGCGCAGGGGCTACGGGCATCAGAGCCAGTCCAAAGGAAACGCAGAAGTGAGCCCCTGAGTGGGGGCAGGAGACAGCAGCTCTGCTTTTTAAATCATGCTTTGGTGCTAGGACTTCAGCACAAATTAAATACATAAAATTTGATGCCAAAGTAGACCTTTTATTTACAAATCTATTGAGGAAATTTGAACACTGTGCAAAAGACACTGTTGTGGGTACATGATTCCTTCCTGGTCTCTTAAAAATCAGAAAGTTAAACTCCAGTCAGTAGTTACTTGGTACTTTGCATTTTAATACCATACTAATAGGTAATTTTTATGTCATATACATTCGTTTGTATCCAGGTTTTTTTTAAAAATGCATACAATGGTCTTAAAATTCTACAGACAAAATCTATTGTGAGGGAAAATTGTCTTTCCTCCCCAAACACCTATTTTCTTAATTGTGATTTTTCTCCCCTATTTTCACAAAGTAGAAAAGAGCACAGAAATTGTTTCGGAAACTTAGTTTTGCAGATGTCACTGGGTTATATTCTGGCTTCTGGAATTGCTGCACCACGTGGAGAGGTGGTGGGGAGACGCCAGGCAAGAGGAGGGTCAGGAGGGAAAGGTCCCCTCCTTCCACCTTTCCGGGCTCCTGACGGGGCCCCTGTAACAAGAGGCAGATTAACAAGAGGAAAGCGTGCCCACATACTCGCGGAGCTTTATGTGATGTGGGGCCTTGGTAAGGAAGCAAAGACCCAAAATTAAACCTGAGTGTTTCATGCTAGATCTGGTGAAGAGTAGAGATTCACGGAGAAAAGCAATAGAAATAAAGAAATCAGAGTAGGAGTCGGCACCTGCAGGCACCATGAGGCCTGTCCCCTGGCATCCCTCGTGGCTCCTGCGTCCTCAGAGGTAGGACCCCTGACCCTGGGCCAGGCCCGGGACCACTCACCCATGGGAGGCCCTCTGACCTGCTGCAGAGGATCCCAAACTCTCCCAAGTTCCCTGCAGAAAGTCTTCGGTATCTCGGGGTAGCTTGCCCTGAGCCCTGTCGAAAGCACTGTTTTATAGTGCTGGACAAAACTGACTAAAGAGGAAAACTATCATAGCTTTCATTAGTTCTGAAGCTAAGGCAGATGTCTGTAACAGCATACTAGAAAGGTTAAATCCATTTCTGAAGTAAAACTGCAGACTTCATGCAGTAACAGTAGGGAGCTCTTAGCGGGTGTGCGCAGGGCACACCTCCCTGTGCCCCTCCCTGCACAGCTGCCTCACAGAGCCGCTGGAATGTTCCTTTAACTGTAGAAAAAACTGTGTAACTGTTTTCTAAGATGACGCATTCACAGAAAGATGTGATCTGTTCCAGCTGCTCTGTGTCCTGGCAGCTCTACCAGCCTTGGGCTCACCAAATGTTTGATTTAGACTCCGTTTCTTGGGCTTTTTAAAAGTCGTTCAAACAGACAAGCAGTCTGTTGCCATGATGACTTTAATCAGCGAGTACCTGATCACTGACGGTGCCCGGCAGCTGCCTGTGTTTGTTTCCATCTTGTCTTCCTCGCCCGGGAAAGATTCGGATCGCTTCCTCTCTGTGGGTGAAGGCGTTGCTGTCGTGGGACCTGAGTGGCATCCGTTCCCTTTGGGTACTGGTTCTCACACATGGATTCTGCCCTGTTCTTGTGCTCTGTGGCTTCTCTTTCCCTTTTCTCAGTAGTGTCTTTTGAAGATTGGATTTTAATGTTAAGTCCAATTTGTCACTATTGTTTCATGGATTCCATTTTTTATGTCACATGTGAGCAGGCTTTTCCTTATATGAGGTCACAAAGATGTTTTCCTTTAGAAGTGTCATGGTCTTAAATTTGATATTTCGATCGGGATCCATCTTGGGTTGTTTTATATAAAATATGGGCTGGGATTCGTTTGGGGTGTGAGGTGTGGGCATTGACCCAGGGCCTTCGCATGCTCTGACCCCAGCATCCACTTCCCTGCTGCTGAGATGGAATCCACTGAGTCCCACCACCCAGCCGGGCTGTAACTTGCAATCTTTTTGTTTTGGTTAGGGTTTTTTGCTGTTGGTGGTTTTCTGTTTGCTTTGTTTTTTAAAATTAGATTCAATTATTCTAGCATTGCTTATTGAAAAGGATATTTTCTCTATTGACTTTCTGTCACACCTTATTGAAAACGGGTTGATCTTGTATTTGAAGACGTAGGAAACTAATTACTGCAGAAGGATGTAAAGATTGGTGACACCGGTCTGTCTTTTTTAATTTTATTTTTGCTTTTCTGGTTCCTTTACTTTACCATGGCAGTTTTGGAAGCAGCTTGTCAATTACTGTGGAAACCCTCCTGGAATTCTGACTGAAGAGGCTCTGAGTGGTTTGGCGGGGATCAACATCCCGACGATATTAAGTCACAGAGCCAGAAAGCATTGCATTGCTCCGTGTATTTAAGCCTTCTTTGATTTTCTATCTTGATACTGTGGCTCCCTTCATATAAATTTTCTTAGATTTATACCTAAGTTTTTAATAACTTTTTTTGTTATTACAAGTGATGTTATTTTAATTTCAATTTCCAGTGGTTCTTTGCTAATAGAAACCCACAGTTTTATGTCTTGTGAACTTATTTTTTAGTAGTTTTTCTTGGTAGCTTCTCGTACTTTTTCAAAGAAGGTAACTCTTTCAGTGGTGCTTTAACCATTTTCTTTGTAGAAATTATGTCTACGAAGAGTTTTATCTCTGTCTAACTACCTGTGCACCTCTTGTTTCCTTCTTTTGCTTTCTGCAGAATTTCAGAACCTTGTTTAAGAGCAATACTGGGCATGAATGTCATCGCACTGTTTCTGATCTTAGCAGAGACATCAATACAGTGCTAGCAGTGGGCGTTTATAGATTCCTTTTACAAGGTGAAGGAAGTTTACTTCAATTCTAGTTCTCATAGCTTTTTAATATTATAAATAAATATTGAAGTTTGGCAAATACCTTTCCTATATCTATTGAGACAATCATAAAATTTTTCATCTTTCATTTATTTTTATTATAAATTACACTGATTCATTTTTTAACCAAGTTTGCATTTTTGAGGTGAACCTCTCTTGGGAATGATGTGGTGTCCTTTTTATATAAGATCAAAGGTGCTGTTTTGATTTTGAAGATATTTGCATCTATGTTTGTGAGAGATACTTTCCCATAGTTTTCTTTACATTGGGTATTGTGAAGTGAATTAATATGTTTTTATTCAAAGACATTAAAGGGCCAGGATTTAGTTCAGTGGCACCATGCCTGCCTCGAAAGTGTAAGGTCCTGAGTTCAATTCCTGGTGCCCCCCCAAAAGACATTAAAACCTTTGTCTTGACATTAAAAAAAAAATGAGTTGAACATGTAGCTTAGTACAAAGGCTTTAAGTTCAGTCCCTATACCACATACACACAAACAAAAAAGACCAAAAAAAAAAGCAAGCAAGCTATTTATTTTCACTGTATGAGCTCAAAGCACTCTCACTATATTACTCATAATGCTGGTACTACTTATTTATTAATGAAAATTTCTATGCTATCAATATTATACTAGTATATGTACACATGAATCCTCTTAAATTGTTTTTATGTCAGTGAAGTAAAATTTAATGCTAAAAACTGATTTGTATACATTAACTTTTGATCACAAGAGATCTGAGTTTATGCTTTTGTTAATTATGAACTATCAATCAACACAGTTAGCAAACAGATAGGTGATGGTGGCTAAAATACTCTGCTTTGGGTCCAAAACTACAGATGCACGTATTTGTGCGTGTGTACATGTGCGAGCGTGTGTGAGGTGTGACTGTGTGCATGTGTATACATGTGTGTACACTTGTGAGGTTTGGCTGTGTGTGTGTGTCCGTGTGTCCGTGTGTGTGGGGTGTTGCTATGCCATGTGTGTGTGCGTGTGCGCACGTGTGTGAGGTATGTGCACATGTGTCACATAGTGTCTGGCATTCTGTTTTATCTGAACTACTCCCACTGGCGCCCGGCAGGTCAAGGCGGGACCCCGGACACCCAGCCCAGGCTGGCACACGTGAGCAGCCTCCTTCCCACCCCTGGGGCCTCAGCCCCACACCATTCCTGGGCTCCAGGGGGTGGGTTACGGAGAGGCGCAGGGACAGCGCCTCCGAGCCGGCCACGTGCTGGGCTGCCGTGCAGACGCATGCAGGGCGCTCTGGTTTTGCTCTGGGGACACTGACGGAACATGTTTGGTTTTAGGTTTCCTCAGGAACTGAACATGGGGAAGATAAGTGCTGAAATCATGTGGACTCTCTTCGCCCTCGACATGAAGTATGCTTTAGAAGGTCAGTACGCATTTTATACTTACTGGAATACTTGTGCCCGCCAAGTCAGGGTTTTCCGTTCTTGACTCTACATGTAAAGAATTCATTCCTTAAAGCATCGATTACTGTGGACAAGTTAGTTTTTCTCTTTGTGGTAGGGATTGAACCCAGAGCCTTTGTACTGAGCTGCACCTCCAACCTGTTTTTTATTTTCTATTTTGAGACACTGCCTCCCTGAACTTGTGTGGCCCTCCTGCCTCAGCCTCCCAGAATGTTGGGATTACAGGTGTGCACTCCCCACACATTTGGTTTAGTTGTAAGACTTACTCCCGGTAGAAAGATGCAGGATACACGCTGAATTAGGTGCCTAGTGGTAGGGTCCGGGTGCGTCTCCCTTGCAGGTGACAGCGCAGTCCACAGCCGCTCACCCAGTGCACTGGGCCATGCCGAGGCAGGCGGTGCTGAGCCCCCAGTTTGTCTATGCGACTGGGAACAGGATTCACGGGCTGCATATGGCCCGGAGGCACCCACAGCAACAGCCAGGGCTGTGTAAATGTTCTGGGGCCTCACCCTCCATCCAGAGCAAGAGTCCCTGTGCTCAAGAAAATCACGGTGTCACAGAAAATTCTCTGTGCTCTTGGTGAAGTAACAAGCACTGTGCAAATTAGCGTATGTATTGAAAATATTTTTGAAACAACTGAATAGACAATTTGGGAGTTATTCAGATTTCTCCCTACTTCTTATTTCTCTGTCTTCTATTTTGGGCCCCCCGTATGTCTGTGTGTGTACTTGTATAAGTACATGTATGTGTGTACGTACACATATGTACACATAGAGTTTCTCATATAAGTGCAGACGCACCGAGCTGCCGGCTGGGCACAGAGCTCTGCTCCTGGCTGTGCTAGGGCCTCGGCAGGCCTCACACTGGGAGCCTCAGGGTGCCCCTGCTCCCCTGGACAGGCACAGCATGCCTGCCTCACCTCACCTTGCCAGCCCTGCTCCCGGGCACAGTCAGTCAGAGTCCTGGGCCTGTAATGCCCTCACCCTGCTCAGCCTCCCACCAAACAAGGCCTGGCCCTCTGGCTCAGTCTCCCCCAGGGCCCAGCATCTGTTACAAAGTGGCAGGAGCCAGCTACCCACTGCCTGCACCAGTTCCGCCAAGATCTTTTGTGCCCTGTCCCC